AGCTACAAAATAATTAGCAAATAAAGTAAGGGAATGCTCCTGTGGCTCCCTAGGGACTGGGGTTGTGTGAGGTAGGAGACAGACCTTCCATATATGAAAGGAGCGTATGCCTTAAGCAGACTGACTGAGGGGTCAGGCTGCAGGAGTTTGCAGCTCAGCAACAGCCCTCCCTTTCACTGTCTGGGAAACTTTGGGTGGATCTTTCTTTTCTGCCTATTTTCATACCCATAAAATGGAAAGAAAGCTTCCATCTCCTGAGTTTGTTGTGAGTTTTGAACAAATTACTCTCTGCAAGCATTTAGAAAAGTTCTCAGCACCCAGTGGGCATTGTCCTGAATATTTTGATCATCTGTGTTGAGGCAGCACCCAAGGTCATGGGATGACCAAATTTTGATCTTCCTGCAGACCCAGTTCCAAGGCTCCAGCCATCCTGTGTCTCACTGAAGGTCTGCTACCCAATGGCCATGCCCAAGAGCCGCCTGAGCCCAGTGCCCTGGGAACAGGATGGCTTTCTCAGGGTGAAGATGGAAGAGGAGGAGGCCAGCCTCTTCCAGGTCCAGGAATCTAGCTTTGGCCACACCATCCACCCCGAGGCTGCACATCTGCGCTTCCGGCACTTCTGCTTTAAGGAGGCGTCCAGCCCTCGAGAGGTGCTGGCCTGGCTCCGGGAGCTCTGCCGCCAGTGGCTGCAGCCCGAGGCACACTCCAAGAAGGAGCTGCTGGAGCTGCTGGTGCTGGAGCAGTTCCTGGGAGTGCTGCCCCCCGAGGTCCAGTCTTGGGTGGGCTCTCAGTGCCCCAAGAGTGGCGAGGAGGCCGCTGTGCTGGTGGAGGATCTGACTCGGGCCCTGGACAAGAGAGGTAAGGGGGCGACTGCAGGTGCTCACAGCGCACTGGGGGCGGAGCCTGGGCTGGAATGTGAGGGTGCAGATCTGGACTTGGGGTCTCTCACCGAAACCCTCACATGCTTCAGTAAGCAGTTCTGTTTTGATTGCCAATGACCAAAAGCCAAGCCCCAACTGACAGAAGCCAAGGAGGGAGGTTTCATGGCTGTGTATGAGGAGCTCAGGTGATATCCTCAGGACTTTTCTTTCTCGGTTGAGTTTTCCTATGTTAGCTTCATTCTTAAGTAGCTTCTTAAGCTACCTAAGACATAGTTGGTCCAGCAGTCTCATGCTTGTGTCTTATCCATATGGAAACCACATAGGTACAACAGTGAACGATCCCCAAGCTGAGCCTCACTGAAGTGGTTGGGGTCTTGTGCTTGTGTTTGGCTGACCAAAGCCCCAGGGACTGATGTAAGCAAGCGCAGTTCCCCAGAGAGGGACCAGGAGGCTGCTACCAGACGAGGGGGCTGGACCCCTGGGCTGGAGGAGGGGGCAGAAATGCCATGTGTCCAGCTGCTCTGCTTTGGAGTGCTCCCTGTGCTGACCTCCAGGGTCTAGGTGAGACAGACCTGCCCCAGGTCAGAGGGGGGACCCCGCCGCTCAGAGACCCACTCAGATGTTGCAGCCCAGGGAGGTCTCATGGGACGCCAGGAGGACCCAGTCCTGAGACAGTCCAGGGCAGGGAGTGAAAACTCTGTCCCAGAAGGGCCTGGCCCCTCTTGATGGTAGCATTTGGTAGGGTGGGCATGCCAGGAACCAGGGCAGGGGCCGTGGGCAGGGAGAGCATGGAGTTTGAACTCAGAGAATCCTCGAGGCTTGGCACATCCAACTGCTGCTCTGCTGCCTCCTGGCTGTGTGAGGCCACATCCTCCTGTAGGGTCAGGAGAGTCTCAAAATGGCTCTGAAACAGCAGAAGAGAACCACAGTCCAGGCAGAGGGCTGGTGGGAGGCAGAGACCCTGTGGTACAATATGGACTACTGCATTCTAGGAAGAGCAGGTGGTGCAGTGTTTCTGGAATAGAGGGAAAAAGGGTAAGGCTGGAGGGGTTGGGGGAATTATTAGAACACCAGTGGGCTTAGGGATTTCCCAGGTGGCACTAGTGGTAAAGAACTCACCTGCCAAAGCAGGAAAAGTAAGAGACACGGGTTCTGTCCCTGAGTTAGGAAGATCCCCAGGAGGATGGCATGGCTAGCCACTCCAGTATTCTTGCCTGGAATAATCCCATGGACAGAGGAACCTGATGGGCTACAGTCCATAGGGTTGCAAAAAGTTGTACAGGACTGAAGCGACTTAGCACGCACGTACAGTGGGCTTAGAGGAGGAAAGAAGATTCTAGAGCTGAAATCCCAACTTGGCCACTAGCTAGCTATGTGATCTTATAAAAGTTACTCAACCTCTATGAGTTAATCATGTGGTCTTGTACCAGTTACTCAAGACCTCCCCTCAGCTGGGCGTGCGTTTCCTTGTCTGGAACACAGTGGTCAAAGAGCCTCTTTCTGAGAGCAGAATGAAGCTTACACGAGGCAATGGAAGGTACCCACCGTAGTTGCAGCCTAGCGTAGAACAAGAGCCTGATGATGGCCAGCAGCCCTGGGAGGCAAGCTGTATCCCGTCTTCCAGGTGAGGAAAGTGAGGCCTAAATGAGGGCAAGACTGCCCAACCCTTGGAGCTGGCCAGTGGCAGAGCTAGAACCCTACTGTGGACCTAACCGACACTTATTCCAGCCACCCCCGTCCTGGAATCTGCTCAGTAAACAAGGCCCAGTCAAGCATCCTCGGGTGCTATATGCACCCGTCAAGAGCAGGGCAGTTCAGGCACGCTCCTACCCCATACACAGGCCAGCTTGCAGCTGCCCCTTAGGTGTGCGCTGCCTTCCCAGCAGACTATGAAGAGCGGGCCTTGGGTGCCCAGGTGGCTCAGGGAGGCCAGGTGGGCATTGCCCACCACCCACAGCCCCAGGTGTCTGCCTGGGCTTCAAGGGCAAGTCTCCTGCAGCCTGGATTGATTCCCTCGTCCAACCGGTATTTACTGAGCCTCTGCAGACTCATCCAGGTCCAAGCGGCAGGGAATGAGGGGGTGGGATGGAGCTCGAGCTGGCCCCGGAAGCCTGTCCTCAGGTGCCTGGCTCTCTCAGATCAGTTCCACCCCGGGGATTTCCTTCTGATATTTGAGACAAAATCAGGAGCCTTAAAGAATGGAGGGTTTGAGAGGTAGTGAGTGAGGGATGACTAGAAACCTGTGACACAGGGTTTTTTTTAATATATTGGTTTACAATGCTGTGTTAATTTCTGCTGTATAGCAAAACGATTCAGATATACACACATATACATTCTTTTTCATATTCTTTTCCATTATGTTTTATTCAAGGCTATTGAATATAGTTCCCTGTGCTGTACAGTAGGACCTTGTTGTTTATCCATTCTATATACACTAGTTTGCATCTGCTAACCCCAAACTCAATCCATCCCTACCCCTCCTCCCCTGTGGCCACCACAAGTCTGTTCTCTATGTCTGTGAGTAGTCTGTTTCTGTTTCATAAATAAGTTCATTTGTGTCAGGTTCTTTTTGGCTGCGACATGTGCCATGCAGGATCTCAGTTCCCTGACCAGGGATTGAACCCATGCCCCCTGCAGTGGGACCAGGGAATCTTAACCCCTGGACCACCAGGGAAGTCTCTATGTCATATTTTAGATTCAACATATAAGTGATACCATGTGATACTTATTTTTCTCTTTCTGACTTACTTCACTTTGTATGATAATCTCTAGTCCCATCCATGTTGCTCCAGATGGCATTATTTCATTCTTTTCATGGCTGAGTAATATTCCATTGTGTATATATACCACATCTTCTTTATCCATTCATCTGCCAGTGGACACTTAGGTAGCTTCCATGTCTTGGCTATTGTAAATACAATGTGAACACAGGGGTGCCTTCTCAAATTAGAGTTTTGTCTGGATATATGCTTAAGAGTGGGATTGCTGGGTCATATGGCAACACTATTTTTTAGTGTTTTGAGGAACTGCCGTACTGTTCTCCATAGTGGCCGAGTCAATTTACATTCCCGCTACACACCCTCTCCACCATTTATTATTTGTAGACTTTCTTGATGATGGCCATTCTGAGCAGCATGAAGTGGTATCTCACTTATGATTTGCATTTCTCTCGTAATTAGTGATGATGAGCACCTTTTCACAAGCCCACTCGCCGTCTGTGTGTGTGACGCAGGTGGTTGATGGTGTCGGAGAACAGCCCTGTGCCCTTTTGTCATCCAGGACACCAAGTGAGAAACTTTTCTTTGGAAACAGGACCACATGTCAGGAGTGGCCCACACCTTCCCTTTCAGAGTGTGGCCAGGGCTCGGCAGAGTGGGGGAGGCCTGGTATGGAAAAGCAGTGACTGTGGTTCGAACTGTTCAGGCTGGGCGCTGTGATCTGAGCTCACAGACACCAGCTGTAAGCAGAGCGGTTCGGAGGAGTCCGGGCCCTGGGATAGGGCCACTGAAACCCTGGGAGGAGGGACTCCCCCAGGACCTGCCTTTGGTGATGATGGTGAATCCAAGGGCAGCCCAGAGAGGCAGGCCAGACTCTCAGGGGAAATGTGGGCCCAGTCTGCCGCCCACCAGATGGATTTCAGGAAAACTTCAGGGCCTCACAAGGACGCTCCCCCAGCCCAGCCCAGCTGTGAAGTGGTGCCTTGGGGGACAGCCCCCACGTGCGGCCAGACCTCACCTCCCGAGAGAACTCCTTCCGAGGAGAGATGGGATCCACCGGATGGCTGTGGGACAGAGCCTCCAGGCACGTGCTCTGGAAGGAAGACCCCCATGTGTGGAGAGTGGGGGAAGACCCTCTGGAGCCCCTTGGCGGCCCACCAGAAGACCCGCGCCGGCAAGACACCCTACACCTGCAGCGAGTGCGGGAAAGCCTTCGGTCGGAGCGCGCACCTGGCCCAGCACCGGGTGGTGCACACGGGGGCCAAGCCCCACGCGTGCACGGAGTGCGGCAAGGCCTTCGGCCGGCTCACCCACCTGAGCCAGCCCGGAGGGTGCACACCGGCGAGAAGCCCTATGCCTGCGCCGAGTGTGGCAAGACCTTCCGCCGCAGCTCCCACCTCAGTCAGCACCGGCGGACGCACTCGGGCGAGCGGCCCTACGCATGTGATGCGTGCGGCAAGGCCTTCAGCCAGAGCACACATCTGACCCAGCACCGGCGCGTGCACACCGGTGAGAAGCCCTACGAGTGCCGGGAGTGCCCCAAGGCCTTCACGCAGAGCTCCTCCCTCCTCGAGCACAAGCGCGTGCACACGGGCGAGAAGCCCTACCGGTGCGGTGACTGCGGGAAGGCCTTCAGCTGCAGCTCCGTCCTCATGGTTCACCTGCGCCTCCACGTCAGCGTCCTGCAGTGACAGCGCACCTCCCGCCACGGCGCAGCGCTGGCGAGGAATCCGAATTCCAGAAGAACCAGGACAGCTGGACTGGGGACTGGTGAGTCCCCGAAACGACAATGTGCTTACGGGCAGAATCCGGGGCTGCTGGGGGACAGCGCTTCATTCAGGGACGCAGAGGGAAGCTCTTCGGGCCAGCCAGCGAAGCTTCCAGAAGACCCCGGCTGCCCTCCGTTCCCCACTCAGGGCCGTCTCAGGACAGCTGAATCCAGGGGGAGCGTTGGTTCTTGAAGCCGGGACAGTCCACGTCGCGCTGCTCTCAGGACTCAGGGGCCCCCAGGTGCTCGGGCGGGAGGCTCGTCTTCACACGCCCACGTGGCTGCCCTTCCTGCCCGCCCCTCTCTTGTGTAATCGGGGGCCTGCCCGCGCCCACCTGTGCCTTCACACACGCCGTTCCCTCCGCCTGCCCAAGTCGGACTCCAAGGCCAGCCTGGGAGCTGCCTTTTCCACGAGGCCCTCTCCGACCCTCAGCCTCTCTGGCATTTGCGCTGTCCTGAGGGCGCTCTTGTCGCTGCACAGCATCCATTTCTCCCTGCCCGCTCTGTGCACGGCCCACCAGTCGTCAGCCTGTTGGTTTTAGTTACAGCCTCCTCTACTCCATCTTCACCATCATTACCTTCTGCGGGCCCACATCCCCTGTCCCTGGGATTCCAGCAGGGGGTCTCCTTCCTGACACCTTTCTGCCTTCATTACACACACCACACATATACACACACAGGACATACATTTATTACACACCCCACATACATACACACACCCCACATACATATATCACACACACCACATACACACATACACACCACATACATATATCACACATACATACACACACCACATACATTTACCACACAAACCACATACATACACCACATACATACATCACACACACCACATACATACACACCACATATATATATATATCACACCACATACATACACCACATACATTTACCACACAAACCACACACACACACCACATACATACACACACCACATACATTTACCACACAAACCACACACGCACACCACATACATACACAGTCCCCCTACACACACCACACACAAACCACATACCACATACACACTCACATCACACATGTGCACACACTCAGACACACACACCACATACACAAACCACATACATACACATCCACCTACACATATACCACATACACACACCACACAAACTAGAGACACACCCCACATACATACACACAGCACATACGCACACTGTATACATACACATTTCCCCCACACCATGTACACCACACACAAACCAACACACACACCACACACACATGCCACTTACATACACATCCCCACATACACACACACGGTTGTTTCCTTCTCCACACGGGCCTCCAGCAGGCTCTTTCCACAACCCGAATCTGATTGTGTCTCTGCAGTCGTGGGAAGCTCTCCACTGCATCACCTTCTACAGCAAAGCTTCCTGAATGGGTTACAAGTTTGCCGAGACATAAGTGGCTTTGGGAATCAGACTGTCTCTCCAGTTACCTATGTGTTTATGAACACTCATTTTGCTGTGTGTGCAGTGGAGTGAACATGAATTCAGATCACTGTCCCGTGAGATGAACCTGAGACTCCATCAGCTGCCAGTCACGGTTGTCGGTGCTGGGCCCTCAGTCTCGTCTCCTGTGGCCCTGCCTCCCACACGCCGGCCTTGCAGAACACATGCTTCCTGGAGGAGCCGTCCTTTCTCCCACGGATGTGCCTTTGCCTCTGTGCCTGGAACCCTCCTCTCTCTCCTGCAGGACGTTTCCCCTGCCCCTCCCCCACGTCCCCACTTGCGCTCTCTGCTCCCCGAGTGCCTCCCGGTGACTCTCCTGAGCCTCCTCATAGTTGCTCATAGTTACTTCTCACAGAGCTTGGAGTTTGTCTTCCCCAAGGACACTGCGCATTCAGGAGCAGAGCGGTGTCTCAGTGTCCACAGCACATGGGCCAGAGGAGCTGAGAGAAGGTTGCTGAACGCTTGACTGATGCCTTTCCATGGGCGGTCACCACACTCCACCCTGAGCCGTCCTCATAGACGTTTACGTGGCTGTCTCCCCCAGTTGTGGGCCCTCCAGGACAAACCACCGATTCCTTCAGGGCCCCAGTGCCCAGACAAGCCAGCATCCGTGGCCTCCGTAAGGTGTGCCCTGTCCGTGGCCCCACAGCTCCGTGACTGCCGCAGCTGGCCGTGAGCTCTCTGCCTTCCCTCTCAGCTCTGTGCCCCCGTCGCGCTTGCAGGATCCATGTCTGTAACAGACGTGGCAGACTCTGCTCCTCTGTTCCTGTCAAGGCATCAGCCTTCTTCCCTCTGTTTTTCTGATGACTATGGCATGTGAACCTGACCCCCCACCACACAGTTGTGTATTGTGTACTGGTCATCAACACCATCTCTCCCTGTGTTTCTCCCTCTGTCTCAAATTCATTCCTTCTGTGTTATGAGTAAACAAAGACCTCTGACGAGCGAGGTTCAGAGCAGGAAGGCTGAGACCCAGGGAGACGGAGATCTTGTCAGCATCTCAGAGAGTCCCAGGTGTACTTAGACACAGCATGGCCGAGGCTCAGACGCTGAGGAACTGACAGGACGTGAGGGAAGACTGAGAGGCGAGAGAAACGTGTCACCCTGCCCTCAGGCCCTCAGCAGGCTGCAGGGAACGGAAAAGACTTGAACCTAACATCAGGCCTTGGGGACCCCAGGTAAAAATGCCTTCCCTGAGCCTCAGTGACTGGCTCGGTCAGGAGAGGGGATGATGAGACCCGCCTTGTGCAGCACCTGATGCAGGCTCTGGGCACTGGCCCTGACTGCTGGCACCTGACTCCCCCTTTCTGCCCCACCCTCCCGCTCTCTCTCACTGAGGAACTGTATCTCCTCCCCACCTCAGCACTCAGAGCACCTATAACACCCACTTTGTCATGAGACATATATCTACTTATGTTTATGTAAAGAAGGAGGTCAGGGGAAGAAAGGAATCTTTATTAAGGTCTTACATCCCATTTAAATGGTAAAATATTAATTCTGAGTAGACTGCAAAGAGTTAAGTATGTATACTGTAATCCCAAGACAAATCTTTAAAAAAGACTATACAAAGAGAATTCATTGGAATGACTAATGCTAAAGCTCCAATACTTTGGCCACCTGATGCAAACTGACTCATTGGAAAAGACCCTGATGCTGGGAAAGATTGAAAGCAGGAGAAGGGGACGACAGAGGATGAGAGGGTTGGATGGCATCACTGACTCGATGGACGTGAATTTGAGCAAGCTCTGGGAGTTGGTGACGGACACGGAAGCCTGGCATGTTGCAGTCTATGGGGTCGCAAAGAGTTGGACACGACTGAGCGACTGAACTTAACTGAAACAGAGATGATCAAAAACTCAGATGAGTTAAAAAGGAAGCTGAGAAACAACCCAAAAGAAAGCAGGCAAGGGGAAACTGACAGATAACAAAAGGAACAAACAGGAAAGAAAAAGGCATACCAAACTGTAAGCTTATATGTTGTTACATATAAATGATCTAAGCATACATATTAAAAGAATTTGCCAGAATGAATTTTTTTTAAAAAGAAAATAAACTTAACTTTCAATATGATGGTATAGGGACTTCCCTGGTGGTCCAGTGGTTAAGAATCCACCTTGCAATCCAGGGACGGATTCAATCCCTGGTCAGGGAACTAGATCCCACATGCTCCATAGAAGCTGAGCACCACAGCTACTGAGCCCTGTGCTCCAAAGCCTCTGAGCCACAACCAGAGAGTTCATGTGTCCCAGTGAAAGATCCTACATGACGCAGTGAAGACCCTCAGGCCTCAACTAAGACCCCATGCAGCCTAATAAATATTTTAAAAATAAATGTAATTATATGGGTAAGCTTAAAGTAAAAGAGTAGGGAAAGATATATTATGAAATCTTCATCAAAAAAATGCTGCAATGACTATATTAATATCAAACCAAGAAGACTTAAGAACAAGGAAAATTACTAGGACTAAAGAAGTTACATAGCTGTAAAGAGACAATTCACCAAAAAGACCTAACAGTTCCAAATAATGTATGCATTTAACAACAAAGCCTTAAAATAACAGGAAATAAAAACTGATAGAGCTGAAAGAAAATAATAGACAAATTCACAATTATAATTGGAGACTTCAACACCCCTCTCACTAGAATCAACAAAACAAAACAAAACCAGTAAGGATACAAAAGAACTGACCAATGTCATCAACCAACTGGATGTAATGAAGTTGCAAAAGGTCAAACTTTGTTTATCCAGAAATAAGTAATTTCCCCTGATTTAAGCTAAGATAAAACTTTTAAAGTCTGATATTAAGCTGTTACTAATGTTTACCCCCAAAAGTGAATGGTCTAAGTTTCCACCTGAAGAAAATGAAAAGGAAGAAATTAATTCAGAATTAAGTAGAAGGAAGGAAATGATACAAGTAGAGGTTCACAAAATAGAAAAGAGTACCAAAATGAGCACTCTCAAAAGGTAATCTGTTCTTTGATAAAGATAAATATAAAAGATAAATACAATTGATAAACCTGTAGCTAGACTGACAGGGAGAAGGGACACAAGCGTCAGTCATGAAAGAGCTGGCATCACTGCCGACTCTGCGGGCATGAGACGACTACAGCAGTGCTATGAGCAACTCTGTGCCAGCCAATCAGACCTCCCCGTTCAAGAAGTAGGCAAATTTCTTGCAAAAACAGTTTACCAAGCATGAGTTGACAGTGTTAGCCTTACTCACAACTGCTGTATGTCAGCACCTGGAGGGCCAGGCTGGGGCGGGTCAGTGGTCCAGGAGGGGTCCGGTTCGGGAACCGTGGGGAAGAGCAGAGAAGACTCCTCCCCTCCCGCGGCCTCGGGCTGCGGGGT